TAGAGCGTGTTACAGTAGTCTAATCTAGAAATTACGAGCGCATGTACTAAGGTAGTGAGCACCCCCGTGTCTAGGTAAGGTCGCAGCCGGGCAATATTTAGAAACAATTCTCATCTAAGTGGTGAAAAATGGCTGTTTGTCCTAGCATATGCTTTTCCTAATCTTTTCATTTGGCATTTTTAGCATGCTTCATTTTGCGGTCTATCACTGGATGTAAAACACAGCCTTCATTTGCATGTTTTATGGCTGAAGCACCCTTTTAGGAGGAAACCAAACCATCAGAGGAAAAATCTGCTAACTGTAAGATGTGGACATTTTTCTTTACATCTTTTCAGAGATATTTCCAAAACAACAAAATACCTAAGAATTTGGTAAACCTCTTGGGGTTTAAAGCACCCTCCCCACAAACTCCTTCAAGCCCCAACATGGACTGCAAAAACAAAGCAAGTAGGGAAAAAAACGTTAGCTTATTACAGTGCCTGGCTTGAACAAAGCAAGGATGTGCAAGAGAAAAAGCTATGTGTAAATGTATGAGATGGAGAGAAACAGTGGGAACAACGTGGCCCACGTCTGCTGGGCTTGCATCAATCTTCTGTTTTCACCCCCCCAAAAGATGGAATCTGGAATGATCCTGTAAATGAAGGGTGAACAAGGATGGCCGTTCTAGGCCAAGACTTATTCTGACCATATAATATTATAAACACAACCTTCTGCTCAGGCCTCTCCTGTATTATCTCCTCCAGGTTAAGAAATGGGGGGGGGGCGTCAAATAAAACTTTTTTTTCAAGATGTCCCCTGAACCATTAATTGCCAGCCATGATGGCCTATTTTCCTCACCCCTGATTTGTCTATCTATTTCCCAGATTGCTGCCAGAAATCCAGCCATGATTTAACAATCCAAACAGTAGATCTATTTCAGGGAACTGTGGTAATTAGACATGGGCATTTTGTATTCGTATCCCTGGGGATACAAATATAAATACAAAACATGGCACCACAGCTGCCATGGAGGTCCGTTCCCTCCCCCCAGAACCAACTAGTCCACTCACTGGTCACCATGCGCACCTGGCGTCATTGACTTCATGCCAATTGCAGAAGTAGCCCATCTGGCACTTCCCTGCCTCCCTGCACAACTGCCCACTCCAGCAAAGAGGTGGACTCAAGAGTCTCCCTGCTCAACTGTTGAGCGGTCAACTGTGCAGGGAGGTAGGGAAGTGCCAGCCAGGCTACTTCTACGATTGGCACCATGTCGTCCTCAACAGACACGCACACTGTGCAGCAACAAATGAGTGGATTAGCCAGTTCTGGGGGGAGGCCAACAGACTTCCATGGCACCTGTGGTGCTACGCTTTGTATTCATATTCCTAGGGATACAAATACAAAGTGTCCATGTCTAGTGTAGCAAAGGAGCTGCAGTGTCACTTATAGTGGCCATAGGTGCAGTTCTCCTGTGTTTTCCCAGTAGCATAAAGCACAGGTGATGGAGACCTGATGTTGTTTTAGGGACTGTACATCCCTCTCCCCACTATTCCAACCTTTAGCTCATTGGGATTGCACTTCAAGATGGATACCATCAATATCAGTAGGATAGTGGCCAAACATTGCAAGGTACGGCTCATAAATAACTGATCGGAATATCCATTCCCAGCGCTGTTCATTCTTTCGTAGGATTCCTTGTCTGGCTACACCAAACGCCACCATCCACACCGCAAATAGAAACAGGAAGAAGAAGACATCGATCAGCTGTAAAAAAGGAGGATTTAAAATCTATATGAGAGAACGTGGCATTGGTTCTGCAAAATCATTAAAGACATGTCATGCAAGCCAATGGCAAAAAACCCAAAACAAACTACTTTCCCACATAAACTTAATATCTGTAAGTGGCATTGGTTGAGTTGTTCCCAATCCAAAGGCACAGTGTTTGGGAGGAAGACTTAGAAATTTGAGCAGGTCTTAGATGAAAATCCAGTTAGAACAGTTAGTAAATATAAATATCTAGGGTTGGATTTTGGTGTAAATCCTGAATTGGGAAAACATCTAGCTGCGATGACATGCTCAAATAGTAAAATCAACATCCAGCTGCTGTGATTCTTCTATTCAATAGCTGGCCAGCTTCTTAGCCCTATGCTTTAAATCTTTAAAGTTAAAACTAACACACTTATTTATGGGGGAGAAATCTGGGGTGAAGGAGCTAAATTAGCCAAATCAATTCTTCACTGATTCAGCACACTCTGCGCAGAGATATCTTTGAGAAATGATCAGAAACTGAAGCTGCCAGGTTGCTATCAGCATAAACTGTTCATAGTACTGTATATTGTTTAATGATACATTGATCTGTATGGGCACACAATATGCTTCTGAATCCAGAATGGCACTAAGGAGTTAAACAAAAGCCTTCCTAGGAAAAGGCAAGTTTTGGACAGGGTCATGAAGGAAGAGAAAGGGTTGACATGTGTAGTCTACAAAAGGAATTCCAAACATAAGGGACCGCAGGTGGAAGAGGATGGGGGTCATTTTAAGGAAATTAGATATTTTGATAGTTACGGGTGCTGAAGCTGAATTTTTAAAGATCTGATTTTGAAATATATGTACAGAAATTAAACCAGTTCAATAAGCTGTGGAGATTGCTTGTCAACCATACTATTGATATGTAGCTCTTCCAAAGAGAACATTTGTAACACTTTGTTCTACCCCTGTCCTCATGGCTTTGTTCTGAAAGGACCTTGGATTTAGCTGGATCTATAAGGATCTGCATCCAAGCAAGTTTCCACATTTTGCAAGTGAGAAGTAGAGAGCTGTACAGACATGCTGCCTCTTTGTATAGAGCTGAAGGAGGTTCCCTTAAGTCTCTCCATCTCACCATGATCCTTGTCCTCTTACCAACTGGAACCACAGGCTGTGAGTATCAGCTTGTGCATCAGCTTCGGTTTTGACACACTGCTACTGCCTCATCATTTCCTCTCTTCTGATTGTCACCTTAGCTTTTACTTCCTCCCACTTAGCCCATTCTTGTCAATGCTGACTACTGAAAATTGAGGAAGCACCACAGCACTAACTTCCTTCCCCTTTCTGAACGCAGGCAGTACTGCACTAGGGTCCTTTTAATTATATATTTGTTGAAAGAGGCAAACTTTAGACTGGGAAAAGAAGTGCCATTGTGCCAGGCTCCATCCACTATACAAAGTAGCACAAAATAAACCTAGTGATTTTGAAGGAACAAAATCTGCAGAAATTCATGGGGAAAATTCTGTAAAGACTTCTACACAGCAAGACAAAGGGGACGCTGTCTGAATGTTGGGCAATTCCGGTATTTCTGGTCAGGTCAATGCTTAACCAGGAACCTAAATGGGCATAGCTGTCCCATCTAGAAGAGTTCATAAGTTATGATCCCAGTTCAATTTCACCCTTTATATTAAACACCTAGTTCCTGAATGCTTAAGAATACATGACCATATTTTTCTGTTTATAAGACAATCCAATGTCTGTGGTGACCGCCACTTTTCTAACCCCAAATTAGAAAATTTGATCACTGATTTCCGCACCATTTCCAAAACTGTGGCTTAGCAAAAGGAGGAGGAAAGCAGCAGTCAAAGGGCTGCACGATCACTGAGCTCGCAACCATCAGCAGAGGAAGCACCAGGAGGAGGAGGAGACCGAGGCAAAGAAGCACCCGGACTCAGCCGCCTTTCGCTGCTACCCATTGACAGCTGCCGCTGCCACATGATCGCAAGATGACGATCGCTGGAGGGGGCGATCGGGGAGTGGCGGCGGCAGTCAATGGGCAACCACAAGTCAATGGGCAACTGTGTATAAAACAACCCTCAAATTTTCCTCTAATTAAAGTGTTATATACGGAAAAATATGGTAATTTTTCATCTCAGAATTGCCATGATGCAGCTGGCAACAATTACTATCAGCAAATGTCTGAATTCCTTTGTGTTACATAATTATTTTTCATCTTTATTTTTAATTAACTCTTGTTTTAAGGATTTCATCTAAAATTCTGTAAATCTATTTTTCTAATTGAAGATTGTTGTGTGTATTTTTTTTTCTCAGCATAGCAAAGTTTTGATGTCGAATACAGCTCACAGGCCCTGCATGGTTCCTGGGGAGTCAATCACGAATCATCCAGAGCACAAGCAACTGTTGCCATCCCTTACATGTCCATGTGAGTTTTTAAAAGCCTTCATAAACACCAAAGGTTTTCCAGCATACTTTGGTTTGAATCAATTGCACAAATGTTTTATCTAGAATAAATCTTATGTCTTACCATCCTCTGAAGCATAATTATCTTGGGGCCCAGATTCCTGCTGACTGTGAAAATATGGATCAGTCTTAGAGTAAAGATGATGTAATCCAAACAGAAAATTACTCTGCCAGAGTACCAGGCTGTTTCATTTGAAGAGTGAAGCCTGTGCAGTGAAATAAATACACCAAACTACGCATCTCCTTTTTCAGATGAAGTAGTTATATGCATATTGTAAATAAGTACCATACATTATCATAGAATCACAGAACTGTAGAAGGACACCATGTTATAAAATTGACAGATGCAACCCCTCCCCAAGCACCGCAAATGAAGAATGTCCACTTTGATCCACAGAAACATCATTCTTACATCACTATCACAACACACACTTCTACTGCCTCCGAACTCAAACCAAAAAATTAAGCAGTAGTGGGTTTGATGAAACTCACCTGAACACAATTCCTGCTAGGAAGTAAAAAATCCCAAGGGTATCCATAACATTCCACAGGTCTGAAAAGTACTTACTACCATTCATATACCACTAAGGAAAAGAAGAAGAAGAAAAGTCACTAAATAAAAGTAGGGATTCTGTATCAACAATATTACAAGGCCCAGTCTCATTTTTCTCTCCTGATAATAGATACTTTCACCATCTTACTAAAGAGAGCTGGTTGGGAAATTAATAGCTTAACAGAAAAATAAAGAATATGTGCTGATCCCATGCATCTTTATGGAGAAATAAACTCAGCTGTGTTTCGTGGGGTCAGGCAAGCAAAGGATTACAGCCCCAAGTGAACTTTAAAAAAAAGTTCTGTTTAATACAGAGAGACATACAGCTGGGCATGGACTATATAATCTTAGGCATCTCTACTCTGAAGCAAGCCCTTCCGAACTCAATAAGACATACTTTCCTGTAAGAAGAATAGGCATATAATCTAGGGGTTCTTGTGCTCACCTAGTCAGAGTAACTATCTTAATTACTTCAGATAAATTTACCAGAAAATATACTAAGCGATTTTCCACAGTTTGTCTCAGTGCTCAAGTTCCTCCAGCTGCAGGTGACAACCATAAGGAAACCACCATCTTAAGATGGTCACCAGAGGACTCAATCACAAGAAACCATACATTTCTTCAATATACTTTTTCCCACTTGTCCCCTTACACAGTCTTCCCAGTGAGAATTACCAAACATTGCTTTTTAAAAATAATGTGCATATCACATTAGACCATGTCTTGGAGAGTATCTGTTTCAGAGCAGTGTAGATAATTATCTCAACAACATCCTTCCTTTTAGCCCTTATTCTGAAGAAATAATTTTGGGTCTTTTTTACTTTTTTTTGGTGAACACTAAAAAAGATATATATGCAGTTCTCCGCAGCATCCCAGCTCTGTCTCATTGGTTGATGTGGTCCAAATTCAGTTGGCCAACGAAGCTCTACCTGAAATGCACCTCTTCTTTGAAGTTGTGGTGCAAGGAGAGAATGTCACCTATTAATGTAACTTAGGTCAAACAGTATAAATATTTAGGTATTATTTTTCACTATAAACATTCCTGGGTTCCTCACCGCAAATCAGTCTTAAACATGGCCAGGCTTTCTGTGCAGTCCTTACTTTGATTTTATTATAATGCTGGCAACCGATATGTCCTGGCAGCCCTACAAGTTTTTAAATCTAAAATCACCTCACAAATTCTGTATGACATCCCAATTTGGCAAAATGCCATGGATCGCTCATTCGAACAGCTATGATCCCACTTCTTACGTAAGGTATTAGGCCTACCGAGGTGTGTTCCCTACTTGGTACTCTGTCTTGAAACCAGACTATCCACAAGGGAAACAATAGCATGGCTGAGAACTTTTCAATTCTGGCTAAAATGTTTTATAACTCAGACCAAGACAGCTTATTATATCAGCTCCTGCAAGATTCTGACCCTCCTTTTGGGTCTATCACCCTTTTTAGAAAACTGAAACTGATTGGCCTAGACATTGGATCTTTAGGTTCACTAAGTCTAGAGCTAGCATTTCAAACAGTAAAGAGATGAATAGTGGAGACTGAGTTTCAGGAATTACGGAGTGCAACTGATAAGACTGGTTCCCTGTTGTCTCTCCACATCCCCTTTAAAATGGGACAACCAGCTGCTTTCCTCATTCTCCTTAAATGTCCACAAAAGCGCAAGGTCTTTTCTCTGGCCAGATGTAACGTCATGCCTGGTGCTGTATCGTATGGTAGGTATAATGGAACCCCTTATTCCAAAAAATATTGTCTATGTGAGCAGGGGGCTTTGGAAACCCTCACTCACATGCTCTTGCACTCTCTGCTTCATCAGGACTGCCACAAAAATTACATCACCTCATTATTGTTAAAGCTGGAGGGGAAATCCGATCTGGACAAGGTCCATTTATGTTATCAGTGGAGGTAGTCGACATTATGGAACATGTAGCTGTTTTCCTTGAGTCAATTGTTAGGAGGCGAAGCCTAACAAACTTGCTTGACTATATTTATTTTATATTTAATATGACAATAAAGGTTTTGATGATGATGATGATGTAACTTAGGGACAACACTGCACATTGATTCCCTCATTGTCCAAATGCTTCCTCCAGCCTTCAGTGGACTCTCTGCCAAGCATTTTTTTTCCTTTAAAGCTAGGCTGAATTTTTTGGCTGTCATTAAACTTTCCACCTATTCCCTTTAAAGCTAGGCTGAATTTTTTTGGCTGTCATTAAACTTTCCACCTAATTAGCTTAAGTTTTCCTCTCTATACAATAAGCACCAAGTATTTCCACGTGAGGACCAATTCACATTATCTTTGTATGAACATATTTCCAACAAAGTACTTTACAGATGGAGATTCAGGGTATTAGCAGGCTTGGAATGCAATTAGGTTGCTGGCATGCAGAGGCCAGGCTGTATGTATGGACGTATGTATTCAGACGCTCCATCAGCCACGTGGCAATGCAAGCAAATCCACTCACTGTACCTACATGAGTGCGGCATTTTATCAAGATGATGGGCTATCATTGTAAACACACCTCTAAGCTAAAGAAAATCACCATATGCTGGGAGAGGAAGTCAAAATGTTTTGAGACTGGACAAGGTCCTTTTCAAACGCAAAAGTAGGCAATATCTTTACAGACCACTAAAAGATCACGATACGATACACAAGCTTTCGTAGATTAAAACACCACTTCACCAGGTTTGTACCAGTGTGAAGAACTTAAAGCCGAAATGTTCTTTTGAAACTTAAAGTCCAAACGTTCTGGGCAAGATGGATTTCACCAGGCATGTCTCTCTTTTAGATGCAAGTTGGGAGTCTGGTTGCTGTTTTAGGGTTACATCTTTAAGCGGATGTGGACTTTTGAACTTTATATCTGAGAACAACCTTCCTGTCAAAATCCAAACATTTGGACTTTAAGTTCTTCACACTAGTACAAACCTGAAGTGGTGTTTTAATCCACGAACACTTGTGTACTATATCATGATTTTTTTGGGTGGTCTATAAACCTATTTTTGCATTTGGATTTTATACAGTTTGGACCACATGGCTACTCTTTATTTCAATGAATTTTTTTTCTTTTCAATTGATTATACACCAGAACCAAGGTTTGCAACAAAGTAGTGACATCTACTGGCAGAAAGAAAGAAAGAAAGAAGCAACTACAGCTTGTTTTCCTCACCCCAGAGAGAGCATGTTTCAACAGTAACAGCTTTTTGGGAAAGCATTACAGCACAATGCTTCTGAAAGTGAAGGATTGGCCAGCTGAATCCCATTGTCCAGGGGACACCCATGTGTACTCGCAATGTTTTTTCACTCTTTGGGGAGGCTCCATCTATGTCCCAGTCTAATTACCTTGACATTTTAATTTGCTTTTAATTTTACCTATATTTCTTATATACCCATATTTTAAAATTGTGGGATGTTCTGACATGAATAAATAAAGGAAAGTATATATTTTGGTTTTTTTTAAAATACAGACTTCAAAGGCTTAGTCTCAGCAGTTACTTAAGAGCTCATAAACTATTTTAATTAACATAAAAATGTAAGTGCATGAACTGATATTTAAATATGGTGAGGTGTCCACAATCTAATGCCTACATGATTTGTTTAATAAGAGTTCAGATTTTTAGCCTTAATGTGTCAAAATCTGATGAGATCCATTACACTGCATATATTATGCAAACGGGGGAGCAGGTTATTGAGGACAAGGCAGTAAGATATTTTAAATTGTTTAGAAAAATAATTTGCAGTCTGCCTGGCAACGATGTTGACGATGGTATCTCAAGAGTAACAGTTAATAATCTGCACAAAGGAATGCAAGTCATACTACAAATGACATCTATTCCAGTGCACAGCTGCAAAAGTCCTCCATAGATGTCTCTGTGTATCCACATCTATCTATCAGTGATTGCTCTGTATTCAAACACTACTTAAGGCCTACATCTGGCTGAAAAGCAGTCCAGACAGTCCAAAGCTCATTACATTAGTTCTGCGGTTAAGTGATTGCTGATTGCTTCATTGAATCAGACACATCTCTAGCCCATAATTAGGAGTGTTGTCTCACAATACATTGAAAACCCATCAAGCTGTGTAATAGAGCAATCAGACAACCATGTCACTAAAGCCAGCCATTATGTTGCAGCCAGGTGTTGGTCCTCTGATTTGGCTCTCAGGTTCATGTTGAAATGTAAGATAACATCCTGAATGTCTCTCAATTTCTATTGACCTGTTTGCATCGAAACCTAAAGTTCTGTTGAGAATACATGCCTTGAGAAATAAGATGTTAATGTAACAAGAATCTTTCAAGCTGTATTATCTACCATTGCAACAGAAAGCAATACAGTATTATTAAAAGGCTTCAATACCAAGCCAAAATCTTCTGTTTAGTGATTGGCATCACTTGTACATCTTCTGTTTTGCAAAGTGAGAAATGTGAGAGTAACTGGGTGGTCTGAAGCTATTCCCCTGGCTTAACACTTGCAAAAACCAGCTCATTTATCTTTGTGATACCAGCCAGAAGACACTATGGAGCTACTCTGTCTTTGTCACTGACCTGAGTTAAGAGAGGGGAAAAAAGGGAAAAGCAGCCATGGAGAATTAAAATGAAAGACAATGGCATCCCCTTGCCCAGCAATAATACTCCATTTTTCATTTAGGGCAATCGCAGGGTATCAGTCTTATCTGGAAGCACGATAAATCTCAAGAGGGCAAATCCTATGTCTTGACAAAGGAATTGCAAAGGAATATCCTAAGTCACAGAATTTAGGGTCTTGCTGCTTCAGATCTCTGCCTGTTGTAAAATACTGTAATTTAAATTTCCCACAAATATAACCAACTTGTTCTCTTACTCACAATAAAGAGGTCTGACCTCTAATCATGGTGAAGAATTGCAATCAGCTCATGGGATTGCATGCCTGTTCTTCTTCACTCCCAGCCAGTTCTCTCTCAAACGCCTCCTATGGTTAATTATTATCCACACACAAATCTTATCTGTGGCTAACAATAAATTAGATGGGATTTTAACAGGGATCTGAGCTCAACTACAAAGTCTCTGTAACTTCAGGAATTTGCACACGACTGGAAACAATGGTAAATCTGAGCCTCGCTGAAGGTGTATCTAATTAAACCAGTAATAATTATCTAGATCAAAATGGGGGAAATTGTCCAAAATCTTATTAATTGTGCCGACCAATGTGAGTTCAGTTGTGTAAATCTCAGCTATACTCTGGCAATAGTTAAGAAGTTGGCATTTCCTGCTGTACAGCAGTTGTGTGGCTTGATGTGCAACAAAAAAAGTATGAACGTTTAAATTAGAAGCAATATGCTGCTGGGATTTACATACTCTACTACAGTGTGGCTACCACTTTCTTTAGACTACAGCTCCCAGACCAGCCTAGTTAGTACAGCCACTGGCCATGGTGGCTGTGACATTCTGGGACATTAGTTTTTAATATATCTGATGGGAAAGTACTATATAATTCCAAATAGCTTACAGTCTGTCCACACTGGCATGTAGTTGTGACATATGGTTCCCTGATAGCACAGTTTGGCATTGAAAAAAAAGACCTTGCCCATTTGTGTTTCTACTTAAAACAATTCATCTGTCCCTTTTAAGAGCTGGCTGTATCTTTCTGGCACAGGGTTAGGGCATGCATTCTTTTTTGGGATGTTCCCTCTCATATTCAGCTCCTTTGGGCAGGGATCTATCCCTCTATCACCCATTTGTGCAGGGTTCTGTTGTGACCAGAACCAAAGGGCCTGAAAACAATCACTGACGGTGCGCAGAGGAGGAGGAAGGCTGCACGGAGGTGGGTACAGACATACACCTTAGAGGGAACTTTGGATTGCACTGAAGATAAGGGTCTTTTAAGCACCAGCTGGATCACACCAAATTTCACAGTGTGAACAGGCTTATAGTGGGACATCCGTGAAAGTCTAGGTGCAAGGAAGAAAACACTGGACTTGAAGGCTATCAGGCCTTTCTGCATCCAGCATAAACTCCCTGGAAACAAGACTTTTTTTATTATTTCTAAGTACTCCCTACTTGTCTCACTTCATCACAAAGCAGGATGAAGACCAGAACGTAGAGAAGCAGTTCCAGCATGGTGGGTGACTTCTGGAAATCCATGAGTAGGACATAAGCAAATAGAAGGAGGAAGGCAATGTAGAAGATAACCGTCCAAGAGAAGACTACAAAGGGTGAAGTGAAGAACCACGCATAGTAGAACAGCAGTTTTTTACTCTTCTCAGCTGGTTTCTTCCTGTAAAAAGCAAAACAAATAGCTTGGAATATATCAATCATTCCTAAAACAGGTTTGTTGGGGAGACAGGCTTTATAAATAGCAACTTATATTACCAAATAACAATCACCTGATCAACACAATACCAGGACTATATTATTCTGAATCTGTGTATCCAGTAAGTGAATAATACCTATTATTCACTTACTGGATACCTACAGTGATAGGAAAGCTGTTTTCTATACCAAAAGCATGCAAGTACAATCAAAAAAGCTGACAGATCTAATAAGCTCAAGTGGTATAAAAATACAATCAGTCACTCAATGAAATAATTTGTCAAATAACTACAACATGCCCTTTGATTATTTGGAATTTTCTCATTAAAAAAAGAAACCTGGATGGAAGATATCTCCACACACCAACACAGGCACATGAACACCATGTCCTCCCTATTGCAAAAGATAAAGTATTTAAAGTAATAGTAGTAGCAACAATGTGTGTGTTGGTGTGCATATGTCATGTGTCATCAATTTGCATCCAACTTAAAACCCTAATAATGTTTTCTAGGTATGTGAAAGACTGAAGGATTGGTTTTACCTATTCTTCCAACACTCCCTCTTCTGAATTTCCATGCCTGAGCAGGGATTTGAACTGAGGTCTCGAGTCCTATTCCATCACTCTATCCACTACACCAGTGGTCCCCAACCTTGGGCCTCCACATTTTTTTGGACTACAACTCCCAGAAGCCTTCACCACTACCTCTGCTGGCCAGGATTTCTAGGAGTTGAAGTCCAAGAACATCTGGAGGCCCAAGGTCGGGGACCACAACACTACACCACACTTGGTAGCAACAATATAACACAATTACGTTTATACAAATAACTTGCCTGAAGGAGATGAAGCCACAGCTTATTAAAGGGAAAAGCAAAAGGCATAGAATGATCTTCCAGTTCTTGGTGTCTCTGGAAATCTCCCCATACCACTGCTTCGAAAGAAAATTCTGAAACACAAAAATACATGATCGTTTGGACTCTGGTCAGTGACCCAGACAAATTCCCTGTCCCAGACAATAGATTACATTATACAGTCCTGCTGCTGCAGATAAGTACATTCAGGACCAAGAACTCAACACCTGAAGTGGGATTAGGGCAAAAAGGGTAGGGAACCTTTCAATGGGAGTTCTCCATCCACGAAGAGAATGTGTTTAGGGACCCTTAACCCTTTCCTTGCTTGCTCTTTCTTTATTCCATTTTCCAAGAATATTCTCCTCACATTAAAAAGTCCACATGGCAAGCGATATTTGGGAAGTCTATTTTGAGTAGGAAAAAAAGCACAGGTAGAGAATAGTGAGCTGAACGACAGGAACTTGGGTTAGAAATGACTTTTCCACATTTAGAAGGCTCATGATACATCTTTGCGATTAACTGCAGAAAATCCTGTTGGATGGGGCACCATAAACATTTAATTTAAACTCAGGGGAAATTTCCTATCCTTCCTTTCAAGTTCCAAGGCTTCCTCAGGCTCCCTTTTGCCCTGGGAAAATTATGAGCATAACTTTGTTCATCGCGTTCAACATGATTTAAAATTAACTGTTCTATCCATCGACTACGACGCTGGTTCAATGAAGATAGAACCAAATGAAACATAGAATTAAGTTTCTTGATGCAAGTTTTTCCTCAGCAAAAATGGCCAGGATAATATGGCAGGACCTTGAAGCCTATGTGACATTTTCAGCACAATTCTCAGGAAGCAGCATTTATTGAGTTTACTAGGTCTTATTCCCAGATAACTGGGTAGTAGATTCCAGCCTTAGTTATATCAGTACAGGATTCCAATTTTACTCTGTTTCGCTGAATAAAACATGGCAGATGGTTATCGGTTCTTGTTTTCTTTCTCTTCCGCTTCTCCTTTTTTTTTACCTGGACTCCTGGCTGAGCAATGAACTGTTGGTCTTTGGCTTCCACCGCCAATTCCAGACAATTGCTTCCACCCCAGGCTTCACAGGAATAGATAAGAAGCTGTTCAGCCAGTTCTTCATCACTGCTGTAACATTCAGTGAATAGCTCTAGAAGAATCAAAAGCCAGAAACAGTAAGTAGCCGCTTTTGTCTATTCACTCTGCCTTAGGCATTCATCTGTTTGGCTTAGTTTTCGTGACTACCCAACACAATGTTTCTGATCATTTTCAGGTCTTCACTTGCTCAGTGAAAGAGCACCTGTTTCGCATTCAGAAGGTGCCAATAAGACCTGCGTGTGAGAGAAAAAAAACTGAGCCAGAAGCACAAATGGGCTGACCCACCTATGTATTTTATCTCATGTTATAGAATTATAATAACCATTTGCAATCAAGTCCATTCTGTCTCATGGCGCAAACACTCATCATCATTACCTTCATCACTCATCAATACTTCCTTTGAGTATGTTATCATGCTTTTGCGCCACTGGAGTTCTGAAAAATAGCTTTGCAGGCTTTTTAGTTCCAATGATGTATACAGAGACAACCGATAATGTTAAGCCAAAAATTCATTGGGTTCTCTAACTCTTCTCATAGCAATGCTTAATTCTACTCCATCTTCTTCTGGTCTTATTTTCCCCACCTTTCCCCTGTCTTGTGTTGATTTCTCCCTATCTTGTCTTGGCTTAATCTTCTCCTTTCTGTTGTTCCCAGATAAGGCTTTTGGCACACAATTGCTCTGCCTCATTCATGAACTTTCACAGGATGTTGAGACTTGTCACCTACTTCATAACCCTTCCATGTTTTCACATATTTTTTTTCTGTATTAGCATGATGATGATGATGGCACTGATGATGACAACAGCTTTTACCATACAAATTCACTTTGGAGGTAAAAATGGATGATTACGCAATGCTGTTTGTGGTAATAATTTTTTTCAAAATTTATTTATTTATTTATTTATTTATTTATTTATTTATTTATTTATACCCCGCCTATCTAGTCATTTCGACCACTCTAGGCGGCGTTCCCAGATAAGGCTTTTGGCACACAATTGCTCTGCCTCATTCATGAACTTTCACAGGATGTTGAGACTTGTCACCTACTTCATAACCCTTCCATGTTTTCACATATTTTTTTCTGTATTAGGATGATGATGATGATGATGATGATGATGATGATGACAGCTTTTACCATACAAATTCACTTTGGAGGTAAAAATGGATGATTACACAATGCTGTTTGTGGTAATTAAGAGCTTTCCCGGTACTAGGAAGTCTTTGGCTGGAAAAACCCTTTCCCCCTCTCTTTTCACAAACTGTAGCTGAACGTCTAGTATCTGTGCAAGCCACTAGTTTGGATGCCTTTACCAGATGTGACATGCAATCATAACTGAAAGTATATCAGAGGTGATCAAATACTGGAACTATATTAGTTCTACTTAGAGCAAACCAACTGAGATGAATAGGACTTGTTAGTCATCATAACTAACTTAGGTCCTACTGATTTAATGGGTCCAAGTAAGAGTAATGTTGAATTTAGTCCACTATCTTTGTAATGTACAGTAGGACTTTACATATATATATGTATATATATATATATACATATACACGATTACACCTCGCTTTAATATATATTAAAGCCATGAAAGTACTGTGGCACTTTAAAGACTAACAAATTTATCATAGTATGACCTTTTATGCATTATAGTCCACTGGAGTGAAATATTTAGTCACAGGTTTAGGCAACAGTATATAATCGGGGACCAGGGAAGATGGATGTAGGCACAGATGTGACATTTCCAAGTGACAATAGCATTATCACGAATCACGAATTCAGAGAATGTTGCCATCCCATCTGCCTTGGAAAACAGAGAGTGTATCCGTCACCCACCCTAGAATTACTGGCAGAGATATATATGTGTGTGTGTATATATATGTATGTATATATATGTATATATATGTATATATATATATATATGTATATCAAAGTGTTCCAGAACTGACCTCTAAAAGCTGTGCTACACTGAAATGTTAAATGCTTTTCAGTTAACGTAAAAGTCAAAGCGAATTTTGAAAATTTAAACTTTGCTACTTTGCGCCTACTTTGCCAATTTGCTCCTACTCTACTACCTTCTCATGTATTTCTGTTTGTGATTTTTGCCTCAGCCTCACCCCTGGTTTTGAGTCTCTTATATCAAAACTTACCCACAGCTCTTGTCTCATATTCATTTGCCAATTCCTCTGATTCCCCAGCAGCATTGATATCATTCTTTACCTTAGCCAAGCTTTTCAGGAGCTTGCTTGCCCCTAACGCTGCCAAAGTACAGCCTCTAGTCTGCAAAGAGGCAAAATTGCCTGATTACAATCACCATTACTTTTGAGTTACCGTAACTGCAGCCATTCCAGTAATGTCACTTCATATCCCCAAACAACAGTGCAACTGCATAATTTAAAAGTGCCTCATTCCCTGGAGCTGCATGTGAGAAATTATGTGGGTAAGCAGTACCGCTTTATGTTGTAACACTGAAAATCTAGGTGAAGTTAATCCTTACAAAACAGAATCTTTGACTGGCTAAATGCAGGACAATGGAATTAGCATCCATGTTTTCCTGTTTGGTTTATAAAATTATGGATATAACTAGATGACCAAATTATCCTTGCCTGCATCAGGATGGATCATGCTTAACTGAGTCACTTTGAGGCGTGGTTTGTCATTTGGGGCACTTCTTGTATCCACATGGAAGGATCAACCACTCTACATAACAAACAACCCTATTTCGCCCTTCTTTCCTTTTAAAGGAAAGGAAAAAGAAAATAACAAAATAAAAAAAATCCCCCTCCTTGTCCTGTTGTCTCCTCCTCCATGCTTTCCTTAAGGCACTTCACAATCACTGGAAACTGAAAGCTTCCTCCTACTCCCCTGTGGAGAGTAAAAGAGAGGAAGCTTTCAACCATTTTTCTAAGTGATATATCACTTCAGTACTGTCTTAGGTGTTCTTAAAAAAAAACACCTTTGCTTCTTCTCCCCCTACCCCACAGGAGAGAGGAAGGAAGCCTCCACTTTCTCAATATCTCTCAAGTGACTTAAGCAAAAGGACAAATTAAGTCATGTGCTTTAGTTCAGTCCCAGAGATCCTACCTGTTTAAACAAAGTATCTCAGAGGAAATAAAAAAAGGTGAGAACAGGCAAAGATTAGGGACATGCTGATTTGCAATTGCCAATATGTCGTGTGGTCAACATGAAAAGGAGAAAACTAGCCCATCTCCAGAGCAGACAAAACCATGGAACAAATTTCCATCTTATTGCACTCCAGAGGATGGAAGCCCAAGTGTACAAATCTTCTACCTGAGAAAAGGGATAGATGAACTAACTTGCTAATTGAATGGATGAATGTGTCAGTCATGCTGAAAGTGTGACCCACCTGTTCCCAAATCACTTTGGATAGCTCCTTTTTGTTTTGAAGGATAGCCCAAATAAAGAGAGCTTGCAAGGGATGTCTTGTAATGAGAGACATATCCTGAAAATACATAAAGGAAGATGAAGCTAAGATGACTGATCATGAAAATTTTTATCTAACCCATGTCTTGTTTTACTTGATATACACAGCATAATTCTACACATGTCTACATGGAAGTAGATCCCACCGCATTCAAACATGCTTCTTCCCAAGTAAGCAGGTACAGGACTGCAGTGTTAGAGTTGCATATCTACTCTGCCCATGTGATTGTGGTTTACATACCAGCAATTGTATCTCTACATCATCTTTGCCATTTCCGTCCTCTTTTTTTACACCTCTTCTGAAATCCTCCACCATCTTCCACACAAAAGTAAGGAGAGCATCGTTGTAGGAGTTCTTAGCAATCTGGAGATTCTTAAACACCAAGCTGCTGAAGTTGTTGGTGTAGAGCTCAGTTAGAATGTCATTGTTGAGAAACTTCCTTAGGTTCAAGCCATTTTCTAGAAAGAGGCGAACAAATTTTGGCCTATCCTTCACCAAGGCTGTAAACATGACATCCTGAAGGTCAGCAGACTTGCAACGAACACAAAACAAACCAAAAAGGTTTTAACCAAGTTGAAAGTTATTTCTTTGTTGCCATATAAAATGGCCAGAATTTTATTACATCTTTCTGCACGCACAACAGCCCCATTGTTATGGCCGCCAAAACATGCTAACTACACCAGGGTGTATTCACTACTGCCCTGAGCAAGCATAAGCCCCACTCTAGTAGTAGGTGCAATCCACTGTTATGGATAGGATTCATTGTGAATCATGTTTATGGCCCCCTCAACTGAATAAAAATGTATATTGAAAGATCTGGCAGTAGTTTCACACCACATACAGACAAAGCTCACATGATTGTACTGGAAACTTATTGGAAGAATGGAAGCCACAATCCAAGAATAAGAAAGGGCAAAAAGTAACTGGGAAAATAAAGCTTTGCTGTTCAGATTATTAAAGGTGACCCCACGGTATAGGAACGGTAACTCCAACTAATGCTATTCAATGAAAACACTTCCCAGGACATAGGAAATAATCAAACAAGTGGTATTTACAGGGTAGCCTCTTGCTTTATCTGAAGGCAACAAGGGTGGTGATACCTCTGTTACATCACTAAAAAAATCTACTTTTCAGCCCATACGGTCCTTCATCAGGCTATGCCAGGCTAGCCAAATTTTTAATATAATCATTGGGCCTTCATCAGGCTAGGTACAACTTTCCTGTGGATTTTGCAGTAAAAATTCAAGAATTCCAAAATTCACGACTAGATGGTTGTCCAAATTTCAAATTGAGGACTGCAAAGTGAAGCCAGGAGTGCCTGGATTGTGCTTGTGTGTTGTGTATAGGACCACACATCCTTTCCTCACTTTTGCTTTATTTGGTTATTATTTGCCATTTATATGGCTTTACTGCATATGTTGATTCTTGTAAGTTCAGTTAACTTTCTCTATTAAATAAATCTGTGTGAATGTGGGTTAGGTTCAGCCTGTAAAGACATACCACTGCCAGAGTCCAAACCCTTATAAGTGTTCTTACCTGAGCTCTGTCAACCTACTGGGTAACAAATTGCATAACATTCATTGCCTTCCACTTCCAAGTTTCTTCCCACCCCACTGTTAACAGCTGTTACCTGATCCAGCCTCTCCATCCAATGAAAGACATGCTTGACCCCTCCCCTCCCGCCATGTTCGTCAAGGTGATAGGAACACAAGCTTACCTCCCAGCGCCGATCATTTGTAAAAATCTCTTCACTAGCCAGGTCCAGCTGGTTCCACTCCAAAAGCAATTTCAGTTGCCCATTCCAATTATCTTTATCTTGTTCATTTGTGCTGAAAGCTGCAAGTGGAGAGAGAAGATTGTGGTTGACTAACAATAAAATAACTTTCCAGGGAGTTTCCGATTCTCATTTCCTTGCACATTAAGCAAAAACACACATTGTCTAAACTTCTCTCTCTCTGGATCTGCCTAAATATGAAGGGGAAAAGGATAATTTTGCCTGAATCTCAACCCCACCCCTCACGACATCCATAGCCACATCAATCATACTTTCATCCTGTCTGGCGTGTGCTCTTCCTAAATCAGGAAACCTGAACTTATGTCTGTTTCTACCCACATTGAAGCTTTTACGTTAATTGCAACTATCCGTAATTTTTACATTTCATTTTTCCTCTCACTTTGCTGCCTGCATTTTCCCCATTTGTCTTCACATATGCCACTAAAGATAAAGCCTTTTTGCTTATCACAAATTGTCTCCAGTCCATTACTTTATTCTCCCACAAAACCTTCTCCTATATTTTGCTGCAACCAACTCAAATAGATACCGCTTTATAAACTGCTGTCATTACTGTCAGTTATGTCAACGTGGATCAAGTTTCCCCCAAATATCACCATTTTTGACAACTGAGAACAAAGGGTTAAATTATCTTGTTGTAACCTCTATATATCCCATAACAACAGTTTTCAGGTAACTGATCTAGACGTTTGAATTTTGACTCCACATGCCATTCCCTACTTCAAAACAGAGTTCCTGTGGATTTCCTGCTTTGGATGATCTGTGAGTCTATGATTCTATAAATACAGAAAAGAGTCCAGGTACAATCTCTCAACAATTCACTTGATTCTTTTGATCTCTGTCTTTTATGTAATTGTTTCTGCTCGGCCTAATGATCTTCATGAACAAATCTTGAAGAATATTTGTTTTATGGCTCACAATCGACAGATCACTTGATAGACAAAATGAAAGACCTGAAACATGTAAGAAGCAAACTTTCATGTAATTTGTGTTCTTTTGGCAAATGCCACAACCGCAAATAATTAGTTTGTACAAACAGGGGTACCTGAACAATATGAAATTAAAAGAGAGCCATATCTCAAGTGGAATTTGATCCAGGAAAGCTCACATTGAAAGAAATTTGTTAGCCTCTAAAATGTCACAGTTTTTTGCCTTTCCTCCTTCTTTTCTTCTTCCCCTGTAAAGTTGCCAACATACCTTTATAAAGAGCATATGAAATAGCATTGCTCACTATTTCATCCCCAGCCTCTTCTATTTTAATGACAGTGAGTAGATGAGGATTTTCAAGCACTTCTTTGATCTGCATAAGAAAGTCAAATTTTAATCCGTCCCAAGACTTTTCACAGTCAAAATATTTTTCTTTCTCTAAGGAATGTCCTGTTGCTAAATGGAAGTAAAACATCAGTTCATTCCAGGTCTATGACATGGAACTAATTTCTTTTTTTTTTACTATCCATTAATTTATGTAGTGCATATTTAGTATATACAGTATACATGCAATGTATATTTGTCTAGGAACATGGACCTGTTTAAACAACAGGTGTCGGAGATCCATTTCCCCAGGGGAAGTAACATCAAGCCTTGTAATTTCTGATCCTGTACATACTGATGCAGTGGGTAATTTGGAGGTGCAAATGCTTATCATTGCAGTTTCCATAGCCTTCCCTCTATTAAAATCAAAAATGTTGCATCAATCAACAAGCAAAAAATCAATTTCTCTGTCAGCTACTTTGAAAATTGCAGAATGGAAAGTATGTAGGAGCAGTTGTGCTGAGGGGAGGAGGAGCCAGTGCATGCTGCAGCAGGGATTAGGTGAATGGGTAGGTGAGCCTGCTGAACAGCTGATAGGCACTCCACTAATCTACAAACTGTGGAGGGGCTCCTGCCCAGCAGCGACCAGCACACTGGCAAGGCAGTCAGCTATGGAGACCCAGACCCTGTAGGGGGAATTGAGTGGCAGTACCACTTATGAAGAGCAGGGCAAAGCTCTGTTTTAATTTTTAAAAAGTTCTTGCTATCTGATATAGCACTATACCAGATAGCAACAAATACATTTATTTTAAAAAATATTTAAAATAACACCGCAGCAGCAGGAGCAAGTGCCTGTGAGAGGCAACCAGTGCGACAGTTTGTTACAGACGAATGGCAACATATGCATTCTCATATGACGATTCTACATCCAAATTAAAATAGATGGCCTATGGCAGAAGAGTAAAATACTCTGCTTCTGATCAAAACAAAGTGATTCTTGTCAAAATAATCTGCACTTCCACATGCATCATGCAGTCACCTTTTAAAAAATCAAGTTAAAACATACAAATACCACTTCTTTTTTTTACTGTCACTGTGCTCTCACTTTCAGTGACAGTATCCTATATAAAGAGAATATAAACTAGGGAACATTGCTCAAGCTATTTTTCTATCCTTTTTTTTTCATTCTATATTATGAGCAATATCTTGGACAGCACTTCTGAAGGGCTTGTGTGTAATCTTAATACAATTTCTATCCTGCCTTGGGTCCTTCTGAGGAGAAAGGCAGGATAGAAATATTTTAAATAAATAAATAAATATTAATATTAATGGTTGCAACAAACGATACCGCTATGGGCTACTTAAATTATACTGCTTTTAAAGCTACAACCCTACAAGCACTCACTGAAGGGTTCAGTGAGAGCTATTTTCCATTGAGCAGACATCTTTCAGGAGATCATGAACGAGTCCTACCCTGCTCCATGCCCAAGCTGGACTTTTTTAATCCAGAGGCAAGGCTACTCCCTCCCCTCCCCTTCTTCCTTCGTTCCTTTCTTGGCTGATAAAGGTAAAGGTTCCCCTTGACAATTTTTGTCCAGTTGTGTTCAACTCTAGCGGGTAGTGCTCATCCCTGTTTTCAAGCCATAGAGCCAGCGTTTGTCCGAAGACAATCTTCTGTGGTCACATGGCCAGTGCAACTTAGACACAGAATGCTGTTACCTTCCTACTGAGGTGGTTCCTATTTATCTACTCGCATTTGCATGCTTTTGAACTGCTAGGTTGGCAGGATGAGACAAGCGACGGGAGCTCACTCCGTCACGTGGATTCAATCTTATGACGGCTGGTCTTCGGACCTTGCAGCACTGAGGCTTCTGTGGTTTAACCCACAGCACATCCACTACAGGGGTGGTAAAGGAGAGATAAAGCTTGGTGTCATTAGCATAGTGGTGACACCTCACGCCAAATCTCCTGATGATCTCCCCCAGTGGCTTCATGTAGATGTTGAACAACACTAGAAATATTGACAGGCCCTTAAGGAACCCCACAGTTCAGGGTCCAAGGGGCCGATACACTATCCCCAAGCTGCCCTCTCTGGACCTGGTCCTTGAGGAAGAATCAGAACCAGCACAATGCTAGGCCCCTGGTCCCAATCTCTGAGAGTCTGTCCAGGAGGGTACCATGGTCAATTGTATCAAAAGCTGCTGAGAGATCAAGGATCAATTGTATCAAAAGCTGCTGAGAGAACAAGGAGAATCAAAAGGTGTATCCGCCTCTGTCAGCCTCCCTTAAAAGGACATCCTGCAGCACGACCAGTACTGTCTCAGTACCCTGTCATGGCCTGAATCTGGACTGGAATGGATCAAAGCAATCTTGCTCCTCCAGGTATGGCCTGTAGCTGGTTTGCCACCACCCTCTCCATCTCCTTGCCCAAGAATGATATATTGGGAATCAGACGGAAGCTATTAAGATTGTCCAAAGTGAATTGGGAGGAGTTTGATGATGGGTTGGATGATGGTTTCTTTAATGTGTGGAGGGAGGATGTCCTCCCTCAAGGATGCATTTACAATATTCACAATCCATTCAATCATAGCTCCCTTACCACCTTTTTTCAGCCAAGCTGGGCAAGGATCAAGCAAGGAGGTGAGAGGCTGACAGCTCACCAGCACTCTGGAAGCTTCCTCCACTGATAAGGGTCAAACTGAATCAGTCAGGCAGAGAGAGCCAGTACAGCAATGGTCATCCCCGGGTCCTCTAATCTGCTGGTGGAGCCAAGTTCAGTACTAGAGATGGGCACGAACTGCCCAAATGGGGTAATTGTAAGCACACAGTTACCATTTTTCCTGAACAAACGATGAATTGAGTTGTTGGTTCATTTGGGAATTACTTTTTTTTAGACACTCCGGTGGTTTTCTAAAAAAAAAACCCCAAAAAAACAATAACCTGGCTTGTCCCCCGCCCCCTTCCCATTGCCCCCACTCTTTCTCCCACTGTCCCCCTACCTTTCTATTCCATTCTGCCTCCTATTCCTTCGCTGTTGCGGCCATCTCAAGAGCCCCACTACAAGCCTGGGGCCATCTGAGCATGTCCCTATCTCTTAGGTGGAGAGCGGGGACATGTACAGATGTCACCAGGCCAGCTGGCAGGTCAGCTAACTAAAAAAAAATTATTTAAAAAATAAAAATTTTATAAAATTAACCAGCGCCTGAGCTGGCTGGGGGCCATTTGCACATGTTCCCACCTCCCCATTAAGAGGCAGAGACATGTGCAGATGGCCCCCAACCAGCTGACAAGCCAGCTAAAAAAATATATCAAAAAATATTATTTATTATTATTTTTTTAGTTAGCCATGCTGTCAGACAGCCAGGGGCCATCTGCACATGTTCCTGTCTCCCAGCTGAGAGGCGGGGCCATGCACAGATGGCCTCCACCCAGCTTAAGAGGCTGGCTAACTAAGTAATAATAATGATGTTATTTGTTTATTTTAGCTAGCAGGTCTGTCAGGCAGCCCTGGGGCCATCTGTGCATGTGCAGGCTTACCTGCTAAGTGGCAGGGATATGTGCAAATGCCCCCCCCCAAGCCTGCAGTGGGGCTTTTGAGATGACTGAAGCAGCTGGAAAAGGCAGGGAGACAACGGGAGTGGGACGGGGGCAACGAACCAGGAAGTTCATAAATTGCCCCTACATTCTTGGTTCGGGAAAGTTCAGGTTCTCCAGTTGGGACAAACCTGAACCAATCCAAACCAATAAATTAGCAATTTCAGACAAATCACCTGGTTTGTTTTTAGCTTTGACCCCATCTCTAGTCAGCATGGAGGGCCTACATTTTTTATCTGAAAAAGTCTGCAAACTGATTGCTGGAAAAATAAAAGTGAGGCCCTGATTGACTGGAGTTAGTCAGGTCACAAACCATGTGTAACAACTGTGCTTGTTGGTTCGCGGCCTCCCCTATGATCCTGATCTTAAATGTCTTTTTTGACATTTTTAAGACACCTTCCAGTCATGATCTTAATGGCAGCTGAAATAAAACCCAACTGGTTCCTCCTGCACCTGCTCTCTAGTTGTCCCCTTGCTAACGTCATAGCCCTTGGTATACCAGGGAGAAAAGCGAGCTCTGGATCAAAGAGGGCATTCGGGGGTGATTGTGTCAGCTGCTGATACCATCTATTGACTTGGACGTTAGCAGGGTCATCCCAGACCACCAGGTCCTAAGGCCCCCCAAAGCTGTTCTGGGTTGAGAAGCCTGCGAGGGCAGACCAATTTCACTGGTCCATTCTCCCGTGGAGAGAGGTCACCACAGACAGCTTAAATCTCAGCAGGAAGTGGTCTGTCCATGACAGAGGGTGGGAGCTCACGATCCTCACCCTCAGATTACTTGCCACATGTGAAATCAAAAACAGTAGGTCTAGAGTGTGGCCAGCTTAATGTGTAGGGCATGTGATATGTTGGGATAGGTTCATGGCTGTCTTGGCTTCCCTTGACATTTAGTCCAGTCGTGTCTGACTCTAGGGCATGGTGCTCATCCCTGTTTCCAAGCTATAGAGCGAGCATTTGTCCGAAGACAATCTTCCATGGTGACGTGGCCAGCACGCCTAGACATGGAACGCCATTACCTTCCCACCAAGGTGGTACCTATTTATCTACTCGTATTTGCATGCTTTTGAACTGCTAGGTTGGCAAGACCTGGCATAAGTAACGGGAGCTCACTATGTCGCGTGGATTCGATCTTACAATGGCTGGTCTTCTGACCTTGCAGCACAGAGGCTTCTGTGGTTTAACCCGCAGCACCACCATGACATTCAAAAGAAAGGCATTCAAAATACAAACTTCATGACCCCACAGGCATGCACATAATAAAGCAACGCAAGTTTGAGGGTATATTTATTTTGGGTTTGTATGCATTGTTATGTAGAAAGTGCCTAGTTTAAATTAAAATTTAAGTTTAAACATAAATTGCAAGGGTATAGTTTGGTCATGCTGACTGGTAAAAATTTTGACTGACTGGTGAGACATTCTAAAATTTTTCAAGCCCTACCCATTAGTCTTTTCTGTTTAGCCCCACATGAGGATGCTACCTTGAAGTGAACACTGTCTCCCACTTTCTGTGTAAGATGTCGGGCACGTGTAAATGTGGAGTGTATAGATAGCTCCTACAGATGCCACTTATTTACATAATCTTTCTGATCTTTCCTACAAAGCTACCAATTTACTGAAAAAGACCAAAAAGTGAACTTCGGAAATAATTACTCTTACAAGAGACTAAAGTAAACATTTTGGATCAAATGCTCAGATTATCCAAGAAGGAACAGAACGTAAGGTGGTGCCATTTAAAAATCCATACAAGGAAAACAACACTATGAGCACAAAGTGTATCGAGCCTCATTAGGAGCACAAAGAAGCATTTCTGACAAACCATTGCTGCCCTCTATAATTATTACAGTCATAAGGAAATGGATCCAAAGAGACACTCTCTGTGCTATTAATTGAGAATGTCATTTCCCCAAAATAAATTACGCCCTCATTGGGGTTTGCTGCCATTCTAAAAACAGAACAGGATGATTTTCCATGTACTCATTTTCTCCTTCTGATACAAAAGAACAAAAATCCTGAGAAGGGTCAAAGAGATGTTTCGAGAATTCCATTTAGCTGCTTGCCAGGAAGCAGAGCCTGGTTTGCTGCACATCATCAAGACAGTCCCATCATCATCCTGTCATCCTACTTAAGGCATGAGAAAAGAGGTTCTTCAATCCTGATCCTGAGTTTTGTAAGAAGCAAAAACTGTCCCAACACCAAACACCAGGCCAGTGGGAAAGACTATCCTTTCTTCTCTACCCACTGGGGGGACTGGGACTACAGGCTGCCCTTCCTCCCACTATGTTCTCTGGTACCCACAGCACTTCATATGTACAGATGCTCACAAATGTGGAAAGGTCTTCACTCACAGCAGCAGCACTGGAGCCAAACTACATTTAACAGCTAACCCTTAAGTGCTGGTTTTGTGTGGTTCTCACTTCAGCAGCTTTTCTCACCTTCTCAGAGTCTGAATATTAGCTTGCATTATTCTGTCACTGGTATGCTATCTGTTAGCAAGTTTGATTTTATAGACCTGAAAGTGTATCTGAATCTTGTTTTTGGAAAAAAGACATGATTTCAGATTTAATGACTAGTTATCTTGCATATCTATTTTGATCTTTTCTCCCTTGCATCCACTTTTCATTACAGAATCTACAGAAGGGAAGATATCCCTTAAATGCTCACTGTGCTTCACACTCAGCTGAGGAGGCCCTGCTCATGTTCCCAGCACTGGATTTGACCTGTGGTAGGTTGGCTGAACCCCAATTAAGAAATCCTCCTCCCCCCATCTCTGGAAAGCACAGTTCACTGTGCAGTTTTAGAAAAAACCATACAATGTATTTATGCATCATTTACAGATGTTATCTGTTCCTGGAATTATACTGTAATTCTCTTGGAAAAACTGTTTTTTAAAAAAAGATTTATAAATATTTAATGTCTAATTACTAAGTTACTAGGTTTTAAAACTGTTTTACATATTTTTGTAAATTGTTCTGCAAATCAAATGTAAAAGCAGGGCTTCAAGTGCCTTAATAAAGGAACAAATGAGACCTAACATTGTAAACAAGGATTTCTTCTCCAAGCCATTGACTAAAAACTGGTGTTTGGTTAAGAAGACTTAATCCTAGCTGCAGACCTAAACTACAAATAAGCCATCCCTTGCATAATGTGGAAGCTGAAGCTAAGGCTTCAATACTTTGGCCATCTCATGAGAAGAGACATTTCCCTGGGAAAGACCCTGATGTTGGAAAAGTGTGAAGGCAAGAGGAGAAGGGGATGATAGAGGATGAGATGGCTGGACAGTGTGATCGAAGCTACCAATATGAATCTGACCCAACTCTGGGAGGCAGTGGAAGACAGGAGGGTCTGGTGTGCTCTCGTCCATGGGGTCATGAAGAGTCGGACACGACTAAACAACAACAATCATAATATGACATATTTCTTCTATGCTGGCTTTCACTGAGGAGGTGCTTTGTTTGCACCAAGGGGTTCTAGTGCAGAAACTCAGCAATCAGACCATGACTCACCCATCTGATCCAACTTTCAGTTTCCTCTTCTGTGAGCCTTGAAAGGGTGCGAGGCAAGTAGCGGAGCAATCTCTCTTTGACAGACGAGGAGGTAAGTGTGCCTTCTGCATCCGCTAAGCTTGCAATCACATCTGCAATCTGGCCAGAACCCTCTACTACCACACATGGAATTTTGTTCTTGACTGATGTGTTAATTGCCTGTAGAGGAAACCATCAGGATGAACAGAGGTTCCAAAAGAAGACTCACTTTGCTCCAATAGATCTTCTCTCCAGTCTTCCATATGTGTGCATACAAGTTCTGTGGTGGCTTTATATGACATTAAACCACCTCTTTTGAAGGCCATATCAGTTCACCCACATGGTGACTGTTCTGATTTTTACCAGTTATTGGTAAGCTGTACTGCCAGGGTCAGCTGAGGCAGCAGAGCAACAACAAACCAACTATCTCCACTTCTCTAGGAAATGTCCCTTTCACCACTCTGTGAAATTTCCTGATTAACTACTAAAAGGATAGACTAGCCACCACCTAAGTATGTTTCAGAATAGAATATGTAAACAGTGGCTCAATTTTGTTAAATCTCTATCTACACAGAAACTGAGAAAGGTGCATTATATTGATGCAGGCGATTGGTTCATCTCAGCCAGTGTTGTCACCCACGTCACTCAACTCTCTGGGGCTCTCAGCACCACTTGGAGATTGTCAGGAACTGAATCTGGGACCTCTGGATACAAGGCATACTGTATGCTCTACCAGTGAGCTACAACCTCTCTTTATTCTTCAGTGATCTTTAGTGAGCAGCAATCCGTAGAATAATTTACATCATTGCAAGATGAAACAAATTGTTAAAATTAAGATAGAATTGCTCAGAAATAAATTGCAAGGGTGAACATACACTTTTTATACCTCTAAGAATATTATATGTGATCACCTATCCACAGAATATTAATAATTAGCTGGTTATTAATTAAGTTTTGCACATTGGGGAGAACTTTATGAGGAGAAATTCTGCTCCCTTTTGCACTACAAGAGCCAATAATTCCAACCTCAGAACGAAGTTCACTGGGGGAAAGAATGAACAGGAAAGCAGCACAGCACAATTTCATGGATAAAAACCAGACAAATATGGAACAGGCAGGATGAAGTTAAACAGGCTCTTGAACAATTTAAATGTGAGAAACACAAAAGCCTCAGCCTCTGAGTTTTCATTCCTTTGTTTATAATTATGGTCCATGACCAGCAAAAGACATTAAATATAATACAGATTACATTTATTAGACAGGTCACAATGCTAAAACAGAGGGGAAAGAGTTAATGGAAAGCTTCATTTATTTTTATTTATTTATTAGACTTCTACCCCACCCATCTAGACCAAAGGTCTACTCTGGGTGGCAAGTTATAGCTTAAAATCATTATCCATTCAGTCTTTATGTACCTTGCATGCAGCTGTGAGAAATCAGTCACAGGTAAACTAATCTGGAGATTAAAACCTAAAAATAGTTTATGTGAGATCTCTGTTTCAGGACAGCCTGAAAACCGGTTAAGCAAAGGAAGAATAAACTTATTACATGGTTCATGATGGAACCAGTGGTGTAATATTATGTATCTGGTTGATTCTACCATACTGTTACTACAAGGACAAATCCTCTTTTTCATAGGGATATTTTTATAGTTCCCATTGGTAACTTTTGAGGGAACAGCATGCCATCTAGATAGTGAGAAGGCCTCTAAGTTTTATTTAGTTCACAGCTGAATAACACACACCCTCCAAAAATGAATGAATGAATGAATGAATGAATGAATGAATGAATGAAGGAATGAATGAATGAATGAATGAATGAAT